TTTGGGAACCGCTGCTGTACAGGCTTCCTTCTTTTCATTTAGGTTAGTATTGTGGAGTAACTACAATGCTGTTGATCCATCCTCAGTTTTCTCCTATCACAGACATTAATTTCTGTAACTGCTTTAAAGTCACCATTGGCCTCATGGTGAAATCCCTGAGCGGTTTCCTTCGTCTCCAGCAACTGAGTTAGGAAGACGCTTGTATCTTTGTAGTGACTGGGTGTATTGATATAGCTGTCTGTTTAAAATACTAGCACACAGCTCGGACACCCATGCATAACCCACAAGACATGCCACCAGAGGTCTCTTCACAGTCCCCAAGTCCAGAACAGACTATGGGCGGCGCACAGTACTACATAGAGCCATGACTACATGGAACTATATTCCACATCAGGTAACTGATGCAAGCAGTAGAATCAGATTGAAGAAAAAAAACAGGTAAAAATACACCTTATGGAACAACGGGGACTGTGAAGAGACACACACAAAGGTACAGACACATGCATATGCACACATTGTGATATTGTTGTATGGTGGTATTAAACATTATGTACTGTGGATATGTAGTGGTGTAATAATGTTATATGATGTACTGTTTTATCTTTTGTTTTATATGTAATGTAAGTGCTTTAATATGTTTGGACCCCAGGAAGAGTAGCTGCTGCCTTGGCGGCAGCTAATGGGGATCCCTAATAAATACAAATACAAATACACCATCCGAAGTGTAATTGATAACTTCACCATGCTCAAAGGGATTTTCATGTCTACTTTCCTATTTTTTTTGCCATCTACCAATAGATGCCCTTCTTTGCGAGGCATTGGAAAGCCTCCCTACAGAGATGAGGCAGTCATTCAAAAACCATGTTAAACACTATTATTGCACATAGAATGAGTCCATGCAACTTATTATGTGACTTGTTAAGCACATTTTTACTAATGAACTTATTTAGGCTTGCCATAACAAAGGGGTTGAATACTTATTGACACAAGTCATTTCAGCTTTTAATATCTGATTAATTTGTAAATATTTCTAAAATCATAATTCCACTTTGACATTATTGGGTATTGTGTAGGCCAGTGACACAAAATCTAAATTTAATCAATTTTAAATTCAGGCTGTAACACAACAAAATGTGGAAAAAGTAATGTGGTGTGAATACTTTTTGAAGGCACTGTATACATGTGTGCATGCATGACTTTGCACACACACATCACAGATCTTTCACGTCCAGCCATACACTCTCCTGGTTCCAACCAGCTGCAAAATCCTCCTCATGAATGTCACAAACCACATGCAATTCACTTAACTATCTTGAGTGGTTTCTCCCATCCACATGCTTTCTTCCCTCTCTTTATTCATCCTCTGGTTTTTCTCTTCCCCCAGCCATATTTCACACACATGCCTGGACATGCCCACCATCCCTTGCACACACACACACACGCACACACACACACACACACACACACACACACACACACACACACACACACACACACACACACACACACACACACACACACACACACACACACACACACACACACACACACACACACACACACCAGTGGAGGCTGGTGGAAGGAGCTATAGGAGGATGGGCTCATTGGAATGGCTGGAATGGAATAAATGGAACAGTATCAAACACATCAAACATATGGAACATGTTTGACTCTGTTCCATTTATTCCATTCCAGACATTACAATTAGCCCATCCTCCTATAGCGCCTCTCACCAGCCTCCACTGACACACTCTAATACATATTCAACCACTCAGCCACCCATTCAACCACACACACGCCCACACGTCATACACACACTAATGGCATTGGAATTATGCTTGCTTGCATCGTCGGGATGTCTGTGGGTGGCAGTTACTTGACTGCCATAAGCTGTCACTTCTGCAGAGACAACGTGCACACACACAAACACACACACGAGAAGGCAGCTGTTAGGAGCCTGTGATGGACTAGCATCGGTGTGTAAACAGGGGAGTGGAAATCTGTTGCTTGCTAACAATGAGCGCTTCCAATTGGGAAATCAGAGAGAGGTTTACACACAGCGCAGCGGACAAGCCCAGACATGCCTCTCACACACACTGTAGCCTGTGTGGAGCAAGGACTTTGCAAACAGACACACACACAGACACGCACACCGTTCTAGCGCCCGTCTGATCCCGAGCCCAATGAGTCACGGTGTTCATTATTAGCCATGTGGTGTCGGACACCTGCCAAGCTGATCAGATCTCACTGGATTCTACAGACACTAGCTCTGACCCTGAAAGACTGCAGCATTTTATAATGAGTTCATACCCACAGAATAACAATGGAATAACTTTAAAGCTTGGGGAACTGTGCCATCATGGCATCTCTATCAACATACCAACACAGTAGGGATCATATATTCCTTATCAGTTTATTTCTTATTAGAGGACCTAGGAGAGAGTTTTAAGACCTCTGTATCTCTATATCTAGACTAGATTTAATAGACTGATCTAGTACTGCTCTAGTCCTAATGTACAGGTAGTATCAGCTGTGAAAGTAGCCAGCAGGCTTCCTCTGTATGTGATAATAATGGCAGATTTACTGACACACTGAAACACACACTGATATACACACTGATGCACACACTGATACACACACTGATATACACTGATACACACAGATATACACACAGATACACACACTGATACACACACTGATGCACACACTGATGCACACACTGATGCACACACTGATACACACACTGATATACACACTGATACACACACTGATACACACTCTGAAACCCACACTGAAACACACACTGATATACACATTGATACACACACTGAAACACACACTGATACACACAGATATACACACTGATACACACTGAAACACACACTGATATACACACTGATATACACACTGATACACACACTGATATACACACTGATACACACTCTGAAACACACTGAAACACACTGAAACACACACTGAAACACACACACTGATACACACACTGAAACACACACACTGATACACACACTGAAACACACACTGATACACACACTGATACACACACTGATACACACTCTGAAACACACACTGAAACACACACTGATACACACACTGATACCCACTCTGAAACACACTCTGAACAATGCTTAATACTGCAGCTGCCAAAGCCAGCTAGCGGTCAGAGGTACACAGCTGTGCAGACTATTTATAAAGGCCAAATTCCACCTCCCTAATTCTGGTCCCTCTACAGTTGTTCTAAAATCCACTGCAAGAGCTGGGGGAGCGAGGGGGAGAAAATGCATCCTATTTCAGGAATGCTGCTGATTTTAGCATTAACTGTCCTCACTTTCCCTGATAACAAATGGGAAAAATTAGATTACAGACATGATCAGAGGAGAGCTCTTCCCAGTTCCCACCATGCCTGTCGCTGTGAGCCCACATTTGGGATTTCTGGGATATGGAATCTCCATTCCCTTGGGAACGCCGGCTCAACTTTGACTCCCTCTGCATCCCTCAGCTCGTGTCAAGGGCTGTGACAGATGAATCATTTGCATCTTTGGGGCTCGACTCAGCGACCATATGATTTGCATGTTTGAGAGTTGACGCAGAAGCCAAATAGAGCATGATACTGGCCTAGAGGGAATAGTGGGATTTGAGTTTACTGATGTGGGGAAGATAATATCAGCAAGAGTAAAAGCAGGGGAGTGGTGTTTTGACAGAAGGAGGATTCATAGGGGGAAGAAGTTCAGGTGTGTTATTGACAGGGTGGGGTTACATTGAGAATGTGTGTGGGGTGGGTGGGTGGGCATGCCTTACAAGGCAGGGTGGGTGGTATACAGTAGCTACTGTATGTACTGTATGTTCTGGGGTAGGATGGTTAAAATCCAGGCGAGTAAAAGTAAATGAATGGGTAAAATGAGTAAGGAGAAGTACACTGAGATGTGAAGGTTACAGAGGTTTCAGTGATGAATGGAGGACGTGAATGAGGTGGGTAAGTTGTTTCGGCCTGGGTGAGACAGAGAAGAGAGCCAGTGGGCTAGGCCCTGAGTTTGTCCAGTCAGTCAGAGAAACAAACAGACACACGGACAGACGTGTGGTAATAAATAACCCAGGATATAGCAGTCTTACCTTCTACCTGCTCTCACAGTCTCACGTCTGAATTAGACATTCATCCATGTTTCTCAAACGTCAAATTTCAAAGTTATTCCAAATGTCAAATTTCGAAGTGTTTAAGGTTAAGTTTAGGCATTAACTCCAAATTTTTAAGGTTAGGGTTAAGTTCAGGCATTAACTCCAAATTATTACGGTTAGGCATTAACTCTGAATGGTTAAGGTAAGGGTTAAGGTTTGGGATAGGCTTAAAACAAAAATATAAAAAACATATTTTATAACTGGATTCGAACTTGCAACCTTTGGAATCAGAGACATAAGCTTACGCCCATCCATCATCACTGTCCACAACGCCCTATCAAAACCAAAACCTACTTGAAGGTAACAGCGCTCACTGTTGCCCCTATTGGCCGGTTTCCACGTCATCTTCCGAAGTCCTCAGACATGGATGGACGTTGAATACTAACTTGTATCATGGGTGACCTGGCTGCTTACCTTCGGCCTCACGGGGGCTCCAGTGTCCAGAGGGGGCGCAGGGTCGGGGGGATGAGGAGTTGGATGCGTACTGCAGCAGGACCCGGCCCTCTGTGCATTTATCACACACTGATCCCACTTCTCTAGGAAACCAACAGACAGGCACAGCAACCAACTTAGATACAGTTTATATGGAAACACACTCACTTAGATACAGTCTAATTGAACTGGCCCTCATTTAAATAGAGGCCATATAGACATGCAGGTACTACTCACTTAGATAGTCAAACTAGACAGGTTTTAATTTAGATGTGATCCAAACAGACAGTCAACCCATTTATCCAAAATATCTGCGGAGTGGAGGTCAATGCAAAAATACCCCCACTGTGCTGCCTGCCCCATTCGTCCAGCTAATTTCACCTGTCGTAGAAGTGGCCGGAGATAGGCGGGAACCACTCCAGGGTAATTGCGGAATGCTCTTGCTCCACCACTTGGGGTGCCATGGGCACAGGAGGTGGCTTGGACTCGGGCTGCCATGTCTGGTAAATAAGGTCCAGGTAGCAGTGCATCCGGGCAACTTGGTTGGGGGTGAAAGAGTTCGTACAGTCGTCATCTACGTGGAAGAGATAATCAGAAATAGTTTAATATGATGGTTTGTAGATTATGTATTCGTGTAAACTAAGTGAGATTTAGAATGTATTTTCTTTTAGAGCAGATTAAAGGTTTACAGGTTGAATTAACCAATTGGGGATGGTTAGGGAAGCCCTAAGAAGTAATATACAGTACCAGTCAAAAGTTTGGACACACCTACTCATTCAAAGCTTTTACTTTATTTTTACTATTTTCTACATTGTAGAATAATAGTGAAGACATCAAAACAATGAAATAACACATATGGAATCATGTTGTAACCAAAAAAGTGTTAAACAAATCAAAATGTATTTTAGATTTTAGATTCTTCAAAGTAGCCACCCTTTGCCTTGATAACAGCTTTGCACACTCTTGGCATTCTCTCAACCAGCTTCATGAGGAATGCTTTTCCAACAGTCTTGAAGGAGTTCCCACATATGCTGAGCACTTGTTGGCTGCTTTTCCTTCACTCTGCGGTCCAACTCATCCCAAACCATCTCAATTGGGTTGAGGTCGGGTGATTGTGGAGGCCAGGTCATCTGATGCAGCACTGCATCACTATCCTTGGTCAAATATCCCTTACACAACCTGGAGGTGTGTTCTGGGTCATTGTCCTGTTGAAAAGCAAATGATAGTGCCACTAAGCGCAAACCAGATGGGATGGCGTATCGCTGCAGAATGCTGTGGTAGCCATGCTGGTTAAGTGTGCCTTGAACTCTAAATAAATCACTGTCAGTGTCACCAGCAAAGCACCCCCACACCATCACACCTCCTCCTCCATGCTTCACAGTGGGAACCACACATGCAGAGATCATCCATTCACCTACTCTGCGTCTCACAAAGACACGGCGGTTGGAACCAGAAATCTCAAATTTGGACACAAAGGACAGATTTTCACCGGTCAAATGTCAATTGCTCGTGTTTCTTGGCCTAAGCAAGTCTCTTCTTATTATTGGTGTCCTTTAGTAGTGGTTTCTTTGCAGCAATTCGACCATGAAGGCCTGAACAGTTGATGTTGAGATGTGTCTGTTACTTGAACTCTGTGAAGCATTTATTTGGGCTGCAATCTGAGGTGCAGTTAACTCTAATGAACTTGTCCTCTGCAGCAGAGGTAACTCTGGGTATTCCTTTCCTGTGGCGGTCCGCATGAGAGCCAGTTTCATCATAGCGCTTGATGGTTTTTACGACTGCACTTGAAGAAACGTTCAAAGTTCTTGAAATATCCAGATTAACTGACCTTCATGTCTTAAAGTAATGATGGACTGTCATTTTCCTTTGCTTATTTGAGCTGTTCTTGCCATAATATGGACTTGGTCTTTTACCAAATAGGGCTATCTTCTGTATACCACCCCTACCTTGTCACAACACAACTGATTGGCTCAAACGCATTAAGAAGGAAATAAATTCCACAAATTAACTTTTAACAAGGCACACCTGTTAATTGAAATGCATTCCAGGTGACTAACTCATGAAGCTGTTTGAGAGTATGCCAAGAGTGTGCAAAGCTGTCATCAAGGCAAAGAGTGGCTATTTGAAGAATCTAAAATCTAAAATATATTTTGATTTGTTTAACACTTTTTTTGGTTACTACATGATTCCATATCTGTTATTTCATAGTTTTGAAGTCTTCACTATTATTCTATAATGTAGAAAATAGTAAAAATAAAGAAAAAGCCTTGAATGAGTCGGTGTGTCCAAACCTTTGACTGGTACTGTACATGTACACATACAGTATATAGAAAAACAGGGCCTGGTATATACAGAGTCTGTAGCAATGTTATTAAGAGAAGATGTATTCTTAAAGTCTCTACAGGTCCGTGACCTGAACATACAGTAGAATATACCCAGTGTGTTTTTCTAATGCAATGTCCTTGCTACATTCCACACCTGCCAAGGCACACATATGTGACACTCAGGGTCAGCATACTGTATGGTTGGACATTCCTACAGATGTAGGATTTTAATTTGAGCCAGTTTGCTATAGCAGGAAAATAATCCTGCAGCAACAGGAAATGTGAATTATTATGTGGATTATAATTTATGGACATTTTTGTAGGGATTGATACATTTTTCGTTAAGGAAAATCAAGTCTGAAATTTAAAAGTGGAAATTACAAACTTCAAACCTCAAATACACTACAAGTTGTACATTTCTCCTGCAACGCGGGATCAAATTAAGATCCTACATCTGTTTGTGATGGGTGTCTATTTCTGAGTGAGGGTTATCACTAGTTACCACAGCCACAAAGTGGCTATTTCGTAAAAAATCATAAAAACAAAAAGTAGCTTTTTGGTCTTCATTTAAGGTTAGGGGTTAGGCATAAGGTTAGCAGTGTGGTTAAGATTAGGGTTAGGTTCAAAATCAGATTTTAAGAACAGAAATTGTAGAAATAGGCAAGGTTTAGCGATAATGATGACTTTGTGGCTCTGGTAACTAGTGACAAACCCTGAGTGAGGGAGTGCAGTGTGTGATGGGTTTTCGGACCATCTGCACGTGTTTGTATGGTGTGTGTGTGTGTGTGCGCGTTTGTGCATGTGTACATCATGTGTGTGCCTGTTTATGCGTGTCAGAAAGTGTGAACGTGTTTGTATGTCTGTTTATGTGTGTGTGTGTGTGCATGCATGCATGTGCATGTGCATGTTTCTGTGCCTGTATGTGAGCAGTCAAATCTCACCTGCGTAGCTCATGTAGTTGTTGTACGGTGTGTTAGTAAAGTGGCGACGCCCGCAGGTGTCGTTGCCAGGCTCAGGGTCTCTGCAGTGCTTGTACTTGGGCGTGGGGTTAGTGTCTTCACACAGATCTCCTGTCTCCAATGAGGGCTCAGTCTCCAGACATGCATCGTTACACGACTCAATCTCTGAGATCCCCCGGAACACGTGGTACAGCCCGAGACTGTGGCCGATCTCATGGATCATGGTGTGGTTGTGACCAAATGTGCCGTAGAAGGAGGGGTTCAGAACAATGCCACCTACAAATGGAGCGCAGACACAGACAAACACCTATTCACACTAGAAAGTACAGGAAGCTGGAGTGGGATTGAGACAATGCATTATTCATCGACCCACACAGCTTCATTATCACCTTCCTCCCTGTCAGAGCAGAGGTAGAGAGACTGCAATTACTCCCAATCAACAATGTGGGGCTGTTGAGAGGAGGAGTGTGTGTGTGTGTCTGTGTGTCTGTGTTTGAGTGTGTGTGTGTGTGGGTACGTGTGCTTGTCTGTCTTTACCCAAATGTGTTAGGGCTTCTTTGTCCCACGGCCAAGTGGCGACTCCAGCCAGGTCTTCATCAGACGAGTTGGCAAAGAAGACATTCAGGTGAGTGGAGCCATCCAGATTCAGGATCTCTTTCAGCTCCTTTACATCCAAATAGGCTCTGGAGACCAGAGAGAGAGACGGAAAGAGAGAGAGAGATTTAAACAATGTACTGTAGTTCCTAGGAACGAGAGCCAGTTCATTTTACATCACAATAGTGCCTGGGAGCAAAGACTTCAGATTTACAATGGGCCCTGGAGCAAAGTTATTTCCTATTTCTGAAGAAGAATTAGAACATTTCTGACAACAATAGACCCTTAAGAAAATAGGTAGCGAGATCATTTCAGAATAGAACAAGTCCTGGAGCTGAGACAGACTTCAGGTCAGATTGAGAGAGAATTTAGGTAGGTAGTCTAGAGCCCAGGGGAGCAGGTCTGATTGAGATGTGTTTACTGTGCTTGGCTAATACTATGCTAGAGGTGGACAGGGAATATCATATGAGAACACATAATCCACACCATGAAACTGTCAGTCCCCTTCTTTCTACCCATGTCAAAAGCCCTTATTCAATAGCCAAGCTCTTGGTCTTGGCAAATCCTATTGACAAGATCAGTGAAGTATTGAAGGAGAGAGTAATATGTTGCAAATGTGAGTTTTTTCAGCCCCATAGTTGTCAGCTGTTTTTGCGAAGACAGACAGTCGTGTTACACACACAGGGCAACTGGAGGTGAACTGAAAAACATCACTCTCTAATCTATCATCACAAATTAGACTGACAAACATGCAGTGGAACAAGTTGCATTTCACGTTTTGATCCAATTTAACCCTTATTTCACCCATGTTAGAGTTTCTTGTGTGTAAGAATCACAAAATATACACCTTTTATAATGTCTGGTTCTAAACAATGGCATTATAGACGACCAGCCAAAGGGCCCCAGAAAACCATTTATATCTGCAGGGGGAGACGATGGCAGAAAACTGACCTGCTATATTTTATGTAATTACATGAACGATTTATTCGAGAGAGCCCTAGCTGCTTCACATGGCTAGTAAAGCAAGTCTGGAACCAACAGGACCCTGAATAGCTTCTACCCCCAAGCCATAAGACTGCTAAATAGTTAGTTAAACAGTTAACCAATAGCTACCAGGACTATCTGTATTGACCTTTTTTGCACTAACTCTTTTGACTCATCACATACGCTGCTGCTACTCTTTATTATCTATCCTGTTGCCTAGTCACTTTATCCCTACCTATATGTACATATCTACCTCAATTACCTTGTACCCCTGCACATCGACTCGGTACTGGTGCCCTGTGTATATAGGCAAGTTATCGTTACTCATTGTGTATTTATTTCTTGTGTAATTATTTTTCTATTATTTCAAACATTTTCTCACCATAATGTTGGGAAGGACCCGTAAGTAAGCATTTTACTGTTAGTCTACACCTGTTGTTAACGAAGCAGGTGACAAATAACATTTGATTTGATTTGCAAAGCGAAGACGAGGAGGGGAGGTCTCAGACTCAGGGAGAGAATCCATTAGTGGGGAAGGAGGGCAACGGATCACGAGGGTGAAGTGGGCAGCCATAAACGTGACAAATAAACATGACAAATGAGGACATCGTAAAAGGAAGAAGATGAAAAAAAAAGTGCCAGAAAAAGTTGCAGTAAAAACCATTGGTGCCAGGCCGGTCAAGGTACAGTACAGTATATCATCCTCCTTAGTGGATAAAAATATAGGCTAGGCTACCACCCATAGCGCTGGAGGAGTGGACACTGGAGTGTCATAAAGAATAATTGAAGTGACTGATCGTGGCAGATGACATGTTAGGATATGGTTTGTTAAGCTTTGGGACAGAATAATGAAGGCTTTATAAGAGGTTGGGCACAGCCAAGTGATGCAGATTGGGGAAGAACATGTTGTTATGGCACACCACAGCTGTTAGAGTGTGGTACAGGAGGACAAGCTGTACCCTTCTGCTCCCTCTGACGTCAATGGACATAATTTACAAAAGATCTGTAGATACATCTGATCAAGGATTTCACATATCAATAACTGGACCGTCTCCCAGCAATGTAAAAAAAAACAAGTTCTTCAGGGGCTGGTCAAGTATGTCAGTATTGTTAATTGAAGTACTGTATGCACTTGAACTGTTTCACAACCCCCTGCTGCTGTTGATCTGGCTCTTCTAGAATAACTTCCCTCCGCTCCTTCAGAAAAAAGTCATCTCTGCACAGATCCAGGACCAGTAGGTGAGGAAGGATAAGGATGCTGTGTTAGTTTAGTTCCTGTCACAGGGTCTGGGCCAGGTATGTTTAGAATAAAGGGGTGGCGTAGTGGAAAAGTCCTGCTTGGCCTATGGGAGAACAGAGGCGGGCACAGGGCCCTATGGAGAGCACATGATATAAGGTCCTTCTCCCTAATAATTTCAGGAATTTCATTATTTCCTCTGAAAATATTTGTCCGGCTTTTTGGCCGCAATGCATGAGGGGGGAAAAGGCTCAGGCGGTTTAATGGCGAGATGAGTAAGTCAGCGACAGATAAAATCAGAACTACTGTAGATCAGAACCCATCTAATCTGAGTTCAATTAGGTTTAATGCACAGGCTCCATTACAACAACCCAACGCACATCAGATGTGGACTTGATGGACGGATGCAGGCTGTGGCCTTGGCCGGCGCACAAACAGCATGACTGCATGAAAACAGGCCAGGCTGCATATGTGTCTGTCGAGTTGCATGGATTTGCACTCTTCTGTGTATATAAATATGTGATCAGCTTTGTAGGAACGTAATTGACTGCTTGATGTAGTGGGAGGCTGTTGAGAAAGGGGAGAGAGCAGTGGCTGTCTGATACCACTTTAGCCAGTGTCGCCCCTGGGTGTGAGTATGCCGGTCTTGGGCCTGTCATGTGATTGACTTTGTCTCTCTCCCTCTCTAACACTCTCTCTCACTTTCCCTGTCTCCCCCCCTCTCTCTTTTGCGTTCTCACTCCCTCCGGTTCTTCCTCTTTCCATCCGCCCTCTCTCCCTTCCCTGGCCCCAAGTCCCTTCTCTAAGGATGTCCTGTCTCTGGTATAACCCAAATTAGGACCTGTGGGTCAGTCTCACCCCCCTCAGCGCTCCTCTCCCCTCATCGCTTATCCTTAACCCTTACCCTTCATCCTCTATCCCTCACCCCTTGCCCCTCGTCTTGCACTTTCATAAGGGATGAGCCACACGGGAGAGACAAAATGTTCCATTCATTTGAACACTCCACTTTTCATGCATGCCCTGGGAAGAGAATCTAGATTTTAGAAAGAGAGAGAGAGAGAGAGAGAGAGAGAGAGAGAGAGAGAGAGAGAGAGAGAGAGAGAGAGAGAGAGAGAGAGAGAGAGAGAGAGAGAGAGAGAGAGAGAGAGAGAGAGAGAGAGAGAGAGGAGAAAAAGGAGGAAAATATAACTTCATTAAATTCAGACGTCAGCGGGCATCTGTTCTGGGGCAGTCCACGGTGCGATGAGCGCTCAAACTGCCGTGTTAATGCTTTTATATCTGATACATATTAAATGGAGGATTATGACTTCATCCATTTACACCCATATATAATTCATATAAGCCCATAAATTTGCCTCGTATACATATGTCTGGGGCTGCTGAGTGTGAAATGCTGTGGTGAGTTGGCAGCCTCACAGCCAAGAACACTTTTAAATCGGTGGGCCCCTCAGCTCTCCTGTCATCGGCTCGGTCAACACCACAGATCCTAAAGCCATCATTTATCCTTTATTACCACACTCATGCTATTTTTCTCCATCAATATTTTGTGTTTTTTCCCCTTCCAAGGAGGACACAACGTACATAAGACCAAGTGTTGACACTCGGATTTCAAAGGTTGGACACCCGAGCTAGACAACTGGGACTTCCACAGTTCCAGAGTTCCACTACAGTACTGAGAATATAGGGCAGCGCGTAGAAACATATCATTTCCAGTGCTTGTAGTTCTTCCATTTATATCAAGTTGACACTCTTAATAGTGTTGGTGGTGTGTCCATACCAACCAATCATGACCTTGAACTAGGGTTTCAGAGGTGGTGGGACAGCCTTCAAAATATGTTGGCATTCTCAGGTAAATTTCAACATGACAGTTTTCCATGTAACTGCCACTGTATGACATTTCTGTACCATCTCACCCATGTAAATTATAATCAACTCCTGATTAGGAGTTTTTCCAAATAAAATCAACTCCTGTTGTTGTCTTCTGACTGGTCGCTTATACAATGTCTTAATCTATGGTGGCGATAGTAATAACAGTACTTCAACTGTCTTTCCTAACTCTTCAGTTGAGGTAGATGGAAAAGGCCCCTCTTAAACTTTTACTCAACACCTCTCCGCCCCCCTCCCTGATCCCAATGACCCCATTGATGTCCATCACCCCCTTCTGTGGCCCACCGTCCCTACCTCACCCCACCTCAGCATCCCACCCAGTACCGGCTGATGAAATGTGGGGTGACGAACACACAGAGTGCAGGTGAACTCAGTCTGGGCCGGGGTCAACCAACCAACAGGTGCATTTACAAGGGAGTTACGACTTTCAAGGGAAAGTACTAAGAGCCAGTTTTACGCCCTAGCCACTCCATTAGGGTGAAACCATTAACATGGGCCTGGTTTATGGGCTGCAGGGCTTAGGGTTTAGAAGACAGACTGTAAAGCACCCAACTCAATGGTCCTGGGAGAATACACTCATTGAGAAAGACAGGAGGGTAGTGGGCTGGTGGCTGTGTGTGTGTGTGTGTATGTGTGTGTGTGTGTGTGTGTGTGTGTGTGTATGTGTGTGTGTGTGTGTGTGTGTGTGTGTGTGTGTGTGTGTGTGTGTGTGTGTGTGTGTGTGTGTGTGTGTGTGTGTGTGTGTGTGTGTGTGTGTGTGTGTGTGTGTGTGTGTGTGTGTGTGTGTGTGTGTGTGGCCATTAACCTGCCACTGTGCCGGGGAGAGAGACAGTGACACGCAGAGAGGCCAAGCGGGAACAAATTGTCCTTCACCCCTGACGAAGCTGGGCCAGAGGCTTAACGGTCTCCTTTCTCACCCTGTGTAGAACAGGTAGGTCAGTAAATCTAGATAGAACCATTTACGTGGAAGGAAGGAAATGTCTATAGGATGTAGCATATTGGGATTGTGTGTTATATATGTGGAATTCAACTGAGTTGAGATCGAATGTCTCTTTAGTGTTTGTTTCAAACACAAGCATTCGCTTATTTTTCTAAGTGAGCTGTCAGTGTCCAGACCATGTTTTCCTCTTACTCCCTGCAAAGGATACTTACTGTTGTTTTACCTCAGATATTCACATACCGGTAAGCACAGTACCAGACATAAGTAAGAATGTCATCCCATGAAAAATATTGGCATAACCGTAAAACAGCACAACAACAAAGGCCTGTGAAAACAATGAAAAATATTTCCTTCGGCGCGAGGGGAGTGTTAAGTATTATTACTGGTATTTCCAGAGGAACCTCTGTCTGTGGAATGCAGAGATGAGTAGCTAGCGCAAGAGGCCTACCATGGTCCCCTGCTAGCCAGATTCCTAAACACGCTAAGTGGTAACAGGCATGAGGGTTACAAAAATAAACGCAGGACCTCACAGCCATTGTTCCCTTGCGTATGTAGCGCGTTGTTCATCCAGAATTCCACAATTAAGGAGGAATGTTGAATAATGTTTGTAGTGTGGCCCTCCACGAGGCCCTCTACACATACCACAATCAAACCAAAATAAGCACTTGGGGAGCTTCTCTTTATCAACATAAGAATTCTCTCTCTCTCTTTCTTCATCTCTCTCAATCTCTCTTTCCCCACTTTCAACAGCCCATATTTCATATGTCTGCAGGGATATTTCAATGGTAGGGACTGTAAGTGTGTGCCAATAGCTGATTTCTAAGAGAAGCCATCTTGGCTGACTGTTGATGAATGACTTTGTAATGATGACTGAAACGGAGGGGAGGGAAGAGATGGCAAACCCACCTGCTTTTTCTTTCTGATGTCGCCTCACACAAAGTTGTTTAGCAGCCGTTTGAAATACAGAGAGAGTGCCAGCGAGACAGTGCTTCCAGGCCTGAGCAATGAGCATGATAGAAAACAGCCTAGTGCCTTGATTCTGGCTGCATCAGAAAGACACAAATAATCCCCACAATAACCCTATTTGGAGCTTTTTTCACCCCCCTCTCTTTAGTATGACGGCGTCCAAAAACATTTACGAGCATCTGACATTGGTCGATTTTTTTTCCAGGCAGCGAGAGAACTTCAAGACCACAAGGACCCCCTACAACTGCCACAAAATGTCTCCGGCCTCTGTGTTTGAGTGTCACGCCTGCCAAGAAAAACCCAATCCTTTACTACTGGAGCACCTCAAGGTCCATGACAAAAAGCAGTTCCAGAGAGAACCAGAGACTGTTTTTCTCACTGCTGCTCAGTCATCCTCTGTGGCACAGAGTAGGAATCCTGCAGATACTGGCAGGTACTAGAGCAGTGGAGGCCTCCGCATCTCCTCCCAGTAACTCTATCAAACTGTTCCTCGCCACAAGCCTGCAGTACTCAAACTTCAAAATGATTTTCTGAGGTAAAACATTTCTATGATTTTCCTGTAACATTCTTTCCGAGGCTTAAAGAGAAGACGGCACAGAGAAGTAACGGCCAAGGGAGATATACTTCCCCTGCAAAAATGTATCTCGGATGTTTCCTGGATAGGGTAGTCCTACGCTGAAATGCGTCCCTACTGCCGCTAGCAAAGTGATGCTGGTCACTCTCCTCTGACCTCTAATTACACCTTCTGGTCTTTCTAGAGTCTAATTGTTTCCAATCTCACTTGTTTCCAATCAATCTAGCTTAATTAGGGCAGCAGAGGATAGACGGGGAGGAGCGAGGGAGAAAATACGTTGAAAAATGAAGAGAGAAAAGATCCGTCTGGGCTCTTCCCAGGGACACTACAGTGTGTTTCCTTGGTTTGGCCCCCCCAAGTGTGGGACGCTGATTGAGTCTGTCTTAAAGCCAGATTGGACTAGCGGCCACAGAGGACACCCTGCTGGGCCACACACACCGCCGGGAGGAGAGTTACACTCTGCTCACAGAGGGTCAGCCAGGAGACAGTGGAACTGACAGACTGTGTATCAAAACCTCACATCAGTGTCCTGACTGACTGTGTAATGAGCAGATGTGTGCAGTTATGTGTCACTCCAGACAGTGTGTATGTATGACAACATCAAGGACAGTGGATCACAGCATTGAAAAATAACAGTGTTGGTGAGGGTAGCATGCACAGAATGCCATGTCAGGAACATATATATAGTACTTGATACTACTTACAATTGAACAATTTTCAGACACATAACTGTTGACTAGACCCTGACAAATGGGCAAATCCTAACTTGAAGATCAAATGTATATGCAAATCTCCCTTTGACATCATTTCATGGTTTGTGAGAAACCTTGACTCCAACTTTGGAGCCAGGCTATATCTTTGTTTAGGACTCATCAAGCATTGACAAAGAGAAAGACAAAGACAGAGAGCTGACCTGTGTGGAGAGGAGCGGTTGAAGCAGGTCTTGGTCACGTCCGTCACATTGGGGTTACAGCAGTCTCCGTTATCGTAGAAGAAGTTGTCCCAATTACACTCGGGGTCGCACACCCCGTTGCCCTGCTTGGACTGAGGGCAGTGGCTGCGGTGCCTGATACAGTCGCCCGCGTCTAAACCCGTCAGCGTGTGGTTGCACTCTGGGTCGCACGCCTCATCACCCACCTTGCTGATGTCACAGTTGGCCAGGACCAGACGGTGGCGCAGCGAGGAGTTGGTGACGTTGTGGACGCTCAGCTCCCAGGTGATGTTATAGACGGCGAAGGCATTGTTGAGTTGCTGGTGCTGCAGGTGGATCTGACGAGGCGTGACGGTGGGCCAGCGCCGAGAGTCGTCCCACACGTTGACTACGCGGTAACGCACCGTCTTGGACTTCCGGAAAGTCCAGGTGTGGTTGTAGTTGGTCACCACTTCCACGTTGTCGCAGACAGTTTGACCACAGGGCGGGGGTTCAAGAGTGGTGTCCAGGGACCCTCCAGTTCCACTTTCTCCTACCCCTCCTCCAGCCTGCCCCACCCTGCTGCTGCTACCCTCCTCTGGCTGGGGGAAGCTCCCATCCTTCACCGTCAGCCACTTCCGGGCAGGGTGTTCAAAGGTCTCCCGGATCACCAGCTGAGGCGCATCTTGAAGATTCTCGTGACCCTGCATGTCCCTGATTATTTGCCTCTGTCCCCGGGCCTCCCTCCACAGACTTACTCTCTCCACGGCCCCCCGGTAGTTATGGTTCAGAGCGTTCCCGCCCACCATCAGCACCTTGCACTTCTTGGTCAGATGGCTGAAGACGTTGCCCGACTGTTCACGGCTGACGCCCACCTGTGCGCCGTTGACGTAGAGCTTCATGTAGAGGCCGTCGTAGGTGACTGCCAGGTGGGCCCAGGTGTTGGGCAGGTAGTGGGCGTTGGAGTGGACGGAGGTGACCTTGTGGGCACGGTCCGTCTTTAGGGAGAAGAAGAAGCGTGGGTCACGGTTGCCCTGCTCGCTGGCCGCCCGGATGCCCAGCAGCCAGCCCCGGTCACTGGAGGCGTAGAAACACTTATCGTACAGACCTGGGATAGAGCAGAGAGAGAGGGACAGTCAGTTAACATTAGATTGAGAGACATAGAGAGATATGGTAAGACAAATAGAGAGACAGAGGAGAAAGGGATAGAATGAGAGAGAAAAAGAGAGAAATAAGCTTTGTATTTCAGATGTTCTTTTCTACGTCAGCAAAGAGACACCTTCATTTAATTAAAAGAGAACAACACTCAGTCAAGATAGAAAGAGACAGTGAAAGAGCGAGAGTGTTAGATAATTCACTGATCACCTCTGGTACAGCAGAGAGAGGTTGATCAACACTGAGCAGCACTGAGTTCCAGCAGTCAGGCTAACATGACAAACACATGTATTTTACTCTCTATCCAGTGGTGGAAAAAATACTCAATCATAATACTTGAGTAAAAGTAAAAGATACCTTCATAGAAAATGACTCAAGAAAAAGTGAAAGTCACCCAGTAAAGTAAAGTATCTGTTTTTAAATGTCCTTAAGTACAGTGGTGGAAAAAGTACTCAATTGTCATAGTTGAGTAAAAGTAAAAAGTAAAAGTAAATGCCATACATCAAATTCCTTAAAATAAGCAAACCAGAAGGCACAATGTTCTTGTTTTCACACTCGTACACTCAAACATAATTTACAAACACAGTATTTGTGTTTAGTGAGTCCGCAGGTTAGAGGCAGTAGGGATGACAACTCGTTATATTGATAGTTGTTTGAATTGGACCATATTGCTGTCCTGCCTGAGCATTCGAAATGTAACGAGTACTTTTGGGTATCAGGGAAAATGTACGGGAGTAAAAAGTACATATTTTCTTTAGGAATGTAGTAGAGTAAAAGTAAAAGTTGTAAAAAATTGTAACTACTAAAGTAAAGTACAGATACACAAAAATAACGACTTAAGTAATACTTCAAAGTATTTTTAGTTAGTTACTTTACACCACTATCATTTGTATTCTTAGTTTAGTCTCAGGGGCCTTATGGCTTTGGCCCTGCACCAGAGCTAGTTTTTCAGGCGTCTCCTGAACAACATCAACCTAAGAGGTCTGCTTCAAGTCACTGATAGCCAATTCTTCATGTGAATTTTGAACAGTAAAATGTATACACTGTACTGTAAAGTTTATGTCTTATAATTCATCCAACAAAATGTCAAATGCATCTGTGTGTCATGTAATCACATGCTCTCATTCATCAGATGTTAACAATATGGTACAGACATTAACAATATGGTACAGATTATGTAGTAGATCTAGTAACACGATACATTTGAAGATAGCATTGAAATAATGTCCTGGAAATTGGGTTAAGGTGCATGCAGTATTTAGCTTGGGGAGACCCATAGAAACTCTTACAAGAAAGATTTCATGAACATTGAGGCCATTTCAACATTTCGGGGGAGCCAGAAAAGGTAGTTTTCTGCAAAAGCCTTGTTATGCTAGAGGCACCAAAACAACTTTTTCCTGTTGCACTTGGAAAGCATGTCAGCTTCAGCATGGTAATGTGTTTTCACTTCTTAGGGGATCTCTGAATGCTAAATGTATGTGTGTTTAGTGTGTGTGTGCCCTTACAAAAAGAAGAACTTCAAATTTGTATGAAGGTCACTGCCTGTTCAAGGGACAATCCTTAGTTGCTGCATTCATTTTTGAACTAATAAATTAATGATATGTACCTATCCATTCTTTAAGAATATAGTTTAGTTTATGCAAATTAATTACTTAAAAATGCAAATTAATTACTTAAAAATCATACACTGTGATTTTCTGGATTTTTTTTTTAGATTCCGTCTTTCACAGTTGAAGTGTACCTATGATAAGAATTACAGACCTCTACATGCTTTGTAAGTAGGAAAACCTGCAAAATTGGCAGTGTATCAAATACTTGTTCTCCCCACTGTATATATATGTTTTTATGATATTAAAATTTTCCTTGTCTTTGATTATGTTACCCTGGCTTTTGCTTTTGCTGCCTTTTTTCCAGTTGCAAGTTTTGGCACATTAATTCCAGTGACATAGCACCCTGCATCCCACTTCCCACTGCTGGTTTGTCTCTGAAGCTTAGCAGGGTTGGTTCTGGTCTGTCCCTGGATGGGAGACCAGATGTAACTGGAGGTGGTGAAAAAATTAATTAACATGTGAAATTTCACGTCTGAAAACCACGTCTAACTCATGTACACATTTTCGTGTAATTTGTTCACACGTGTCCGAAAACCACATTTATTTATAAAAAGGTTTTGTCATTTAGCAGACGCTCTTATCCAGAGCGACTTACAGTTAGTGAGTGCATACATTTTTTCACATGGGTGTGTGTATGTGTGCATACGTGTTGGAACAGTTAATGTTCTTCCCCATCCACATAATGCAGTAAAGAGATCTGCGTTGATTTCAGGGCTTTTTCAAACAAGTAGGATTGTCCAAAGCAGACAAATGCAATCCAATGCAACCCAATGCAATCCACTGTCTTTGCACGGCAAATATAGTGGGGGGGGGGGGGGGGGATGGGTGTAGGTTGGGGGTACGAAGCTAACATATGGAATTGTTTTCAGATGGTCATACCATGGATCATTTAGCTATTTGATTTGGAATTTTAGGACCCCTTTAGGTATAAAAATGTATATAAAAACATTATTTGATAAAATATTAAATTTGGCATTTACTACCATAGCCCATAGAAACACATTGAATAACACATTCATAAATGGCAAAAAAGACCAGTAAAAAAATGTATCATAAGGAATAAAGTTTTGAAGTGTCTGTCCTACCCCCTTGGCATTTTTCGTATTTTGTTGCCTTACAACCTGGAATTAAAATTGATTTTTTGGGGGTTTGTATAATTTGATTTACACAACATGCCTACCACTTTGAAGATGCAAAATATTTTATATTGTGAAACAAACAAAAAATAAGACAAAAAAAAACAGAACTTGAAGGCAACTTGAAGGCCATTCTTCAAGGCAAAACTGCTCCAGCTCCTTCAAGTTGGATGGGTTCCGCTGGTGTACAGCAATCTTTAAGTCATACCACAGATTCTCAACTGGATTGAGGTCTGGACTTTGACTAGGCCATTCCAAGACATTTAAATGTTTCCCCTTAAACCACTTGAGTGTTGCTTTAGCAGTATGCTTAGGGTCATTGTCCTGCTGGAAGGTGAACCTCCGCCCCAGTCTCAAATCTGGAAAACTGAAAATAATTTCTCTGTATTTAGTGCCATCCGTCATTCCTTCAAGTCTGACCAGTTTCCCAGTCCCTGCCGATGAAAAACATCCCCAGAGCATGATGCTGCCACCACCATGCTTCACTGTGGGGATGGTGTTCTCAGGGTGATGAGAGGTGTTGGGTTTGCGCCAGATATTTTCATTGATGGCCAAAAAGCTCAATTTTAGTCTCATCTGACCAGAGCACCTTCTTCAATATATTTGGTGAGTCTCCCACATTCCTTTTGGCGAACACCAAACGTGTTTGTATATTTTTTTCTTTAAGCAATGGCTTTTTTCTGGCCACTCTTCTGTAAAGCCCAGCTCTGTGGAGTGTACGGTTTAAAGTGGTCCTATGGACAGATACTCCAATCTCCGCTGTGGAGCTTTGCAGCTCCTTCAGGGTTATCTTTGGTCTCTTTGTTGCCTCTCTGATTACTGCACTCCTAGCCTGGTCCGTGAATTTTCGTGGGCGGCCCTCTCTTGGCAGGTTTGTTGATGTGCCATATTCTTTCCATTTTTTTATAATGGATTTAATGGTGCTCCATGGGATGTTCAAAGTTTCTGATATTTTTTTATAACCCAACCCTGATCTGTACTTCTCCACAACTTTGTCTCTGACATGTTTGGAGAGCTCCTTGGTCTTCATGGTGCCGCTTGCTTGGTGGTGGCCCTTGCTTAGTGGTGTTGCAGACTCTGGGGCCTTTCAGAACAGGTGTATATCTACTGAGATCATGTGACAGATCATGTGACACTTAGATTGCACACAGGTGGACTTTATTTAACTAATTATGTGACTTCTGAAGGTAATTGGTTGCACCAGAGCTTATTTAGGTGCTTCATAGCAAAGGGGGTGAATACATATGCACGCACCACTTTTCAGTTATTAATTTTTTGGAATTTATGGAAACAAGTTATTTTTTTCATTTCACTTCACCAATTTGGACTATTTTGTGTATGCCCGTTACATGAAATCCAAATAAAAATCCATTTAAATTACAGGCTGTAATGCAACAAAATAGGAAAAACGTCAAGGGGGATGAATACTTCTGCAAGTCACTGTATATCTAGGAGATAGAAGCACGTTTTTTTGGACACATATTAAACCCTGTATTTGTGTTGACACAACACTTTCATTTGTATGTGTTACCTTCAGACGAGTCATAGAGCAAAACGGAGAACACCATCGCATTTGTGAGAGTCTTCCCTTTCCATAGAGTGGTCATGCAGGCCAAACTGTTTGGAGGCTACAGACGTTTTCATGAGAATAATGATTTTCGGGAATTCTCATGGTCTGACAAACACTGCTGTAGCTCGGCCACCTTCCACCGCAGATGAGGAAGGCCGACATAGGCGGATGCGGTGGATTGAGACGCAGCCCATGCAAAAAACTGATATCTCTAGCTTAAACTGACGGATTTTGATGCAGATGTTTTTATGATCTCACTTAGATTGATGCAGCGGTGCTTCAATAATACCCTTAAGGATTTTAACATGTTTTTAATCAGATGTACATACATACAGTAAGAGTCAGGGGGATACTCTAATGGCAAAGCCATTCAAAGAGCATAGTGGGGTTCAACGTCAAGGTCAGCCGTATTGAGTGTGACGTCCTTAGTGTTTCCACTACAGTGGAAGGAAAAAACCCTCCATCTGTCAGCTAGTGCACTCAAGGCTAAAAGGTGTTCTAAAATGTGTGTAAGGCTCCTAGTGTAAACAGCTGTCATAATTCTGCCAAGCTCAATTAATCTAATATAGTACACTTTTCCAGACCCAACCTGCTCTGTGGATGGATGGGGCACACAACACACACACAGGTATTTGCATACACACACTGACGCTACGGCTAAAAGCCATTTGTGTCAGGTTCAAAGTCAACCTTGCTTGAACTTGCCATTTGTCTTCCCCCAAGGAAAACACACTCATACAGAAAAAAGAGTGAGAAAACGTCAGAGAAATCTGATGAAAAGCAGGGAGAAAGGGAACAATGCCCTTTACGTTTGCTTTTGAAATGTTTGGGCTCTGAAAGTCGGGGAAAGGGACTTTGTGTACGGACAAAGTGAAGTGAGCGTCACACTGGGTTTTTGACATGTTGGAAGATTCCACAGATACTTTAGACTCTAAACACAATACACATCCCACAGCTGAACACCTTTTAATCCCCAGACAAATGACAGTTACATTTACATTACATTTTAGTCATTTAGCAGACGCTCTTATCCAGAGCGACTTACAGTTAGTGAATACATATTTTTTTTTATACTGGCCCCCTGTGGGAATCAAACCCACAACCCTGGCGTTGCAAACGCCATGCTCTATCAACTGAGCTACATCCCTGCCGGCCATTCCCTCCCCTACCCTGGACGACGCTGGGCCAATTGTGCGCCGCCCATGAGTCTCCCGGTCGCGGCCGGCTGCGACAGAGCCTGGATTCGAACCAGGATCTCTAGTGGCACAGTTAGCACTGCGATGCAGTGCCTTAGACCACTGCGCCACTCAGGAGTCAATTACATTTTGCTCTATAACTAACTTGAGACATCTTTCAACAATGTAATTAACTTCAAACCTTTTCATTACGTTTAATGATTAAAAAGAGAATCTTGTAATATGCAAATGATCTCTTATGTGTCAAACCTATACAGTAACCGACAGCTTGGGGGAAATACCATGGTAATTTCCCAGCATTTTCCAGCCATAGATTACCTCAACAGAAACCCCAAACCATCCTTAAGTTTCCTTCTACAGTCTGAAATCAAGAGATGAGCGACTACATGTAGCCCTTTGCTGTATGTCCTGTGGCTTTCCTCAAATGTATTATAAAACTATAAATCTAGAGTGAGTATTAAAGTTTAATACTCAACTATCTCATTACCCAAAGTATTTGTATGTAATCTTAGATGTTATATGTCATTAGTTATGTATCATCTCACATCTAAAACCTGCAGAGCACTTAAGTGCCTCTCTGCTTTGTTATCAAATGATGCATCTGCCAACATGGGCATTTATTGTCTACAGCTGGTCATGGAAGAGACCAACTCTGATCCAATGTCTTGCTATTTATTTTCCTTTCTCTGATGTGGGACAGGCCTCCGTGACCTGGGTAAAAGGGCAAAAAGGTCAGAAGTAAAGTTCATGTCACATTATGACACAGAACATGACATGCTAATGTGTGACATGGACTGCTATCAGGATGTAAAGTGCATGGCAGCATTCAGTCAAGTTCAATTACAGTTCAAGGCTCCCCTTCCTCTTTAAATACCATCTTTGTGTAACTTTCAAAAGCGGGACGAATTGTAACAACATGTCAACATTTCACAATAGGGAGAAGACAACGTTACAGATTCTTTGACTGGAGGGTTAGGCCGAAGTGGCTACGCTAAAGCAATAACACTCATCCTCCTTTGTAAAATGAAAGGCTGCTCAGTGACAGGTGTTGGTGGAGTGTTTGCGTATGTTTGAACGAGTGCCCAAATCAAAATCGGTCAGCCAGCTGAGTCGCAACACTGAGCTATTCCATTACCGCTACCCTGGGATCCAGTTTTAAAAGAATGCTTCCTTTTTTCCCCTTCTTTTTTGATGGTCCTTTCTACTTCCTGTGTGCGCATGCTCATTTTGTCAATGCTGTTCAAGGTCCTGAATCATGTTGTTCTGCTGGAGTCATTCTCCTGCAGTTCTATAGACCACATCTGCATTACAAATGACAACGTGTGTGTGTGTGTGTGTGTGTATGTGTGCGTGTCATACAGGGGTCAGTTTTACATCCCCAGCTGTTCTGATTATTACCAGTAAGCAGACCGCAGCGGGCACATCTCCTCATGTCAGTAGGCAGTGAGTTCTCCTGGCAAGTGCCCATCCCATAAATGCCTCTCTGTGTCTCAGAGCAAATGTTACATTCTAGCTACCACTAACAAACAGGCATTACTAAATACACATTCTGTACACACGTCAGCAATGGTGGGCCCTACACATGTCAGCAATGCAACGTACGCACATGGTGGGCCCTACACACGTCAGCAATGCAACATAAGTACATGATGGGCCCTGAGTCTTGGAACTCTGGCTGGCTGTGTAAGTGGTTTGGACTAGGACTTCATTGAGTATTCCACCAGCCATTGTTTAAGGCCATAGAGTCAATAAATCAAATCAAATCAAATTGTATTTGTCACATGCGCCAAATACAACAGCTGTATACCTTACCGTGAAATGCTTACTTATAAGCCATTAACCACCAATGTAGATATTTTTTATCGCAATTAAATAAGACCAGAAAATAAGACCAAAAAGGAACCACAGATGCATGTTTATCAAACAGGAGTTATCTCTGGTCCTCAAGCCGTCACTTTGTTGGCACTCAGAGGTCTCACTGTGTGTGTTTTACTGTAAACAATAAGTAAATACCACAGTACTTTACTGTACTGTACTACTCGTCTCCCCTCACTTATGAAAAGGCGAGATGACAAGCTCAATAAAAAAACAACAGCAGTGTTGTGATAAAAAGCGGGGCAAAAACAACAACAAGGCTGAAACAGCTGTAGAAAACAAGCTGGGCCTGGGTCAAAACAACAGGATGGGACTGATTTAGGCCTGGGATTGTTAGGAGGTCTCAATTGGATTTAAAAGATTAGGCATCATAACATTTGCTCGATAGGGCATTTGTTCTTTTCCATCACAAGCAAATTTTTCCAACCACACTGATCTTAACCTGACGAGAGCAAACAACAAAATGAAATGCATAAGATAGGCTAAGATGGGTATGAGGTTAATACATGTGACATCCCCTGAGCAGACTGCGTGTCCCGGTCAGGCTAAGATCCATTGAGAGTCACAGAGCTCTCAATGGATTCCCTGAAGAGTTGAAATGCCAAGAGTGAATTTAATAAGGGGCTGGCTTAGGCTGCCCCCACCAACAGGCCAAATCTAGTACACACATACTGTATACACACACACACACATACACAATAGACGTGCACACATGCATGCGCGCACACACACACACACAGGGATGGACCAGGAGTATTAGTATTTTATTAGGATCCCCATTAGCTGTTGCCAAGGCAGCAGCTACTCTTCCTGGGGCTCAAACAGAGATAAAACATTACATCAAACAAAACATTATACACATTTACATTGCTCCATTATTACATTACAATATTACAATACTACATTACATTACTAAGAATAGTGTGTGAGTGTGTGTAGAGTGTGTGTGTGTTAGAGTGTGTGAGTGTGTCTTCACAGTCCACGTTGTGCCATGAGGTGTTCTTTTATCTGTTTTTTAAATCTTATTTTACTGCTAGCTTGAGTTACCTGAGGTGGAAGACAGTTCCATGTAGTAATGGCTCTATAAAGTACTGTGCGTTTCCTAGCCTCTGTTCTGGACTTGGGGACTGTAAAGAGATCTCTGGTGGCATGTCTTGTTTGGTATGTATGAGTGTATGAGCTGTGTGTTAACTAAATGAACAGACAGTTTGATACTTTAACAGGTCAATACCTCTCACAAAGACCAGTAGTGATGCAGTCAATCTCTCCTCTACTTTGAGCCAGGAGAGATTGATATGCATATTGTTGATATTAGCACTCCTTGTAGGCCTACATTTAAGGGCCAGAAGTGCTGTTCTGTTCTGGACCAACTGTAATGTGTGTGTGTGTGTGTGTGTGTGTGTGTGTGTAAAACCCTTCGGAGTGGTAGCCTACAGTAGTATGCATCTGCACACATCTGCAATCAGTTGTGTTTGCTACGCTCCCTGTTGGCAGCCAATGGGATCGAATCTCATACAAATCTACATCAGAAGCAGTGGCACAGACACTGAAATCTATAAACAGTATATACATTGGAAGGAAATGTCGTCTAAGACTTGGCATTGTGGATTTCAGAATGACATGACTGTAGCCAGCACGGTGTCTGGTCTAGTCTGTTCGGTGCTAGCTCACAACATTCACAGGGTACGTTGTGCGTGGATGAAGCAGGCTACGGTCTCCCTCCCATCACTTTACAAAGCTGAAACCAGTCTTTAGACTGTCCTGATAAGGCCCCCCAATCCAATAGTCGGTTTCATTTTTTTATAATGTTAGAGTCACCTAATGTTATGCGCAAATGTCTAGGTTTGAGGAATCCCAGACGCAGCTAATAGCGCGTCCCTCCGCGCAATAGGGAAAACCCTGGAACTCTATTACTGTCTTGTAACCTCAGCAGCCAATACAGAAGTGTCGATTTGGTAGGCACTTTGGATTGCGGCACGGACGGTGCCCTAGACAGATCAGAATAAAAATGGATCTCTCTCACGCTCTACTTTTGCCTGCTGTGACGTGCCCACGGATTCAAAGTTTTGAGCATTACATCATAGTTTAAAATAGCCAGACGCCTCATAAAAAATACAATTTCTACGCACGATGACATCACCTGTCAATCAAGTGATGCGGTATAAATGGCAATATCGAACAACCTTGAAATAGGCTACAATTGTGATTTGAGTCCTTTTGCGCATGAGTTTAAATAAGGAACATTTCGAAAAATATACCAGGTTATTTATATTGATATAAAATGCATTCATTAAGACAGAAGATTCTATCTGAATGATCAAACCCAAGTAGGCTAATGCGTGCATCTACCCAAAATCTCTCAAAGGCTATTGCACTTTTCAAGGCATTACATCATTGGCGTGGGTCAGTTGTGAGATGAACTCACTCTCAACTCAGTTACGACTGCATGATGTTTTACTGTGACAACCCTGCATGATTTGAGCTAAAACAACATGCATGATAAAATAATAGCCTACACAGCTAAATGTGGGTCATGACATTCAATTGGTTTATTAACATCTAATTGCCCACTTTATTGCTTAATGTGTGCGAGGTAATAAAATAAACAGATTTCACACTTAACTTTTAAATTTGCTTTTGAATTTTAGGGCGCATAGACTAATAAAATCATTCCCATCATTCATTCATTTGTGTACTAAGACAGTTGTTTAGACTACCTGCAATCACCGTAGGAGATCGTTGACCTCCCTCTGGTTTGATCCACATCTCCAGAGTAAAATTTCCTCTCGGTATCTCCACGCCCGGCTTAAGCCGAAGTTGGTCTCCCCTGCCGGTAAAATAAACAGCTTTCACCCGACCTGGAGAGTTCTCCTCTGCCTGAGAGGAGCGCCGACGCTGGCGAGGCACCCGTCGTTCCATGCCGGGCAAGGAGCGTTTGCCCCGGGGCAGACGTGTGGCACAAGCCCCTGGGAAGGTGGCTCTAGCCTCCCTGATAGGCACCAAGTCCCTTTTGGATCTCCCCTTTCTCCGGACAGTCCCGCACTCTGATCCAAAACATAAGATGAGTATCACCAGGCAAGGCAGCCAGGGAAAAGTCCAAAGTTTCATTTTCAGGAGAAGAGGTGATAAAAATGTATAAAGAGCAATGAATATAAATAAATTCGATAAGTATAAAATTCGTAGGTCCACAATGCTCCTCTATAAAATCTTCCCGAGTTTCTCTTTCTGTTTTTTTTCTTTACAGCCGCTTGTCAAACCGTAGAATCAGTCTAAATAAACCCATGAAGCGATACTGTAATATCCCCCTTATTGGCTAATGTTAAGCCACGACCCCCTTTCCTTGCCCGCGTTTAAGCAAAAGTAAGACTCTTCTGGAGAGATTCAAGGGACACAGGAATATTTGATTCATGCAGGTGTTCCACTGTGCCTTTTCAATGGGTCTCATTAAGCCAAAGGGATGACTAATAAGTAATCAATCAGAGGGGCTCCTGTTGATGATGCCCCCCATCACTCCTTGGTTGTCTGAGTTAGCCTACTCGCAGAAACCCACAGTTGTCCGCCAAACGCTTGTTACACCTTTTTGTTGTTTCCTTATCCCACCCATAAAGTAAAACAGTATACAAAATACCACATTACATTCTAAATAAAAGTGATAATAAACCGACCTGTCATTATTTTATTAAAGAAAAAATAAACATTCCTTGACTTGCTTTTTGATATTCAAAAGTTGAAATGCACAAAATTATCTTGTAAAGCGAGAGATAGCTGCAAAAGTAATAAGCATCACGATCATCATTAATTTGTCTGAAGCAGAGAGACACTTGGAGAGAGAGAGCCAGCACTGGGCGTCCGCTTTAAAGCAATTTCTCAAGTGTTCTAAAGAGCGAGCAAATCATGTTTCGAACGTTCCGGCCTTTCTTTTTTTTTTGGCGAAGTGGGATGTCAGACCGGTACACACTGGCGGCAATTCCATTTCTCCATGGGACACAGTGATGGGACGCTGTTTACGGAGTTTGGAATTCGTATGTGTATCCCTCTAGCGGCTACAATTCAAACAATCCAAATTATTTTCTACAATCTTACCTGATTCTGACACAAAACAGATGTAGACTGGAAAGTGACAGGCCATCCAGCAGTTCCCTTGTTGCGGTTGGATCACATTCCTATACGATTTCCTATTTAAAATACATGAACCCAACGTTGAATATCATGTCTTATTAGCTCTTAAATGGTCAGCAGTAATCAATCAAATTGTGTAACAACCAGTAGGCTAGGCCAGGGGTCTGAAGTCAGATTTGGCAATACACAGCAAAGCCATCAAAAAACCTTACACCCAGAATTCCATTTTAATATCCAACTTGTAGCCTACAGTAACCTATGTCTGTGGTAAAATATTGTGCATCACTAAAACAAAGCTGTTGATGTTCAGCACTCCCACCAGCAAAACTGTAATGCCTCCCTAGTTGGAAATATAAATTCTCACCACATAAATTGACAGAAATGTCAAGCACCATTTCATGGCTTTTCCCAGAGACAGTCAGGAATATTAATGTTTCCCCTTTTGTCACCATGTGGGTTCTTTGGTGTAAATGTATGCTTGGACAGCTGGACATTGCCACCTACCATAAAGTAAGAGGGAACAGACATTCAATATTTGCCTAGCACAAGCCATATAGTGTTGTGACTTTGTCGTGGCAAGATGGCCACATATTTCCTTTGTGCCTTAGGAAGGGGAAATTACATATGGTAAGAGAGAGCACAACCCTGGTAGAGGTTTTCAAGTGGACCACTAAGTGTTAAGTAGAAACCTCAGCCAAAGAAGAGGGATAATGTTCTACTTCTCCAACCCCCATACAGTAGATACACCCATTTTTCTAAGGTCTGGCTGTCTAGTGACCTCTACTGACCTCATAAATACAGTCTTGTTCTGTGTCGGTCTGGGTCTTGGCCTGCAACACCTAGTCTATCTCTCGGTCAAGTCCCACAAGATTGGCAGTTACATTGCACTGCAATTATACCGACGACACCAACAGTTAGAGTAGTGATGTGTGCATACTGTTTCATCATCTGTCTCGGTCAGGAGATTCAAAACTCGGAGTGACCTTCATTCTTATACTCAACTCTCCTCACTATGTACCAACTGGAGAAAACAGGTGCAGTGTGCATAAGGTATGAAATTGCTCTCAATTTCACTATAACCTGCATCTAAAGAACAGGCACGCTTCTAGTGCAGCTTCACTCACATTCAAATCAGCCAATTGTCTCAACGGCCTGGAGATTATACAGGGATGATAGCATCCCATCTTAACCCATGACCAGTGATGCTGCGTGTCATTGTGCCCACCATTTATTCTAAGCCTTCTGGTGAACTGAAATTAGCAACCCTGGTCTGCAATAACCCTCTTACATTAATGGCAGGTTAGGTCAACACTGGGTCAAGGTTGGAAATAAGAGCAATGGGAGAAAAACAACAACAATGCTGTTCCAGATATTGCCACTACAACAGAAAAATAGGAGATGCTTTCATGTATCCAGTGCATTGTGTCAGAGTGATGAGCAATTTAAAGCAATTGTGCAATGCTGGTTTTATATTGCTTAATCATTTTTGTATCTTGAAAAAGCATATTGGGAGATCATTTGCTATTTCTGTATGCCTACTTTGCCAGAATTCCAGATTATTCATGTCAGCATTGACCATTGTTGCCCTTGCCCTTGATGGATGATCAAAATCCACCTGTTTTAATTACACAATGAGAACTGGTCCAGTTACAGATGTAGGATCTTAATTTGAGCCAGTTTGCTACAGCAGGAAAATAATCCTGCGGCATCAGGACATTTGAATTATGTGGATTCTAATTAATGAAGAAAAACAAATGTGTAGGGGTTGATGCATTTTAAAGTGGAAATTACTAACTTTAGAAGCATTTTTAAACCTTGAATACACAGCAACAAAATAGTGATCAAATTAAGATCATACATCTGTACTGTAGTTTCTCTTCTGCACTGCAACGTCCATGAGATGTCAGAATAATAAAAGATGGGTAACTGATGCAGTTAGGATTACCATTTAACTTCCAATGCATGCAAAGGCATTTGGGCTTTTCTCTCTGGCCACTCGTTATCGACAGATTACAGCTTAATACTTGCATGTAGCAGAACAATCTGGAAGGGGAGTGACAGCTTGGAGAGAGACAGTATGAGCAGCGGTATGCATGTGTTTGGAGTGAGGGGAGGACCCTGGTCTCCAACAGCAAAAGTGTGTGTGTGTGTGTGTGTGTGTGACAACTGACTGAAGTCAAACAGAAAAAAAAACACTGTCAACCATAATACATTAATGCACTGGGCTTAATCTGCCACTGTGGTAAAGTGCAAACCTAAACGCTCTCTCCTCTATTTTTTAGCATGATCCAGAAAAAGAAAAAATATACATCACACTGACACCGCTAGGGAAAGAAGTGGTGAGAATGACATTCCATGACAAGGAAGACTCACTGTATGTCATGGAATGTCATTCTCACCACTTCTTTCCCTAGCGGTGTCAGTGTGATGTATATTTTTTCTTTTTCTGGATCATGCACAGTACATTTGGGTAATGTTATGTCAGTTGTAAAATGGTAGTTAGCGATGAAATGAAAACCATCACGCATGGAGAATTTCCAGAAAACATTTGGTTATTTCTGGGGAGCAGGGAAATGGTAATTCCGTGCCTTGAACTATATTACACTACTGTATGTATTACATAGTAACGAAAATAACAATTTCACGTGAAAAAAATACAACCGTAAATCATATCTAATCTTTTTTAATCCTTATGACAGCTCTCAGTTATGCATGCTTAGCATCTTAAGGGAGATAGTTCAGCAGGGAATTTCAACTTAGGCTACTACAAATATATGAGTTGCCCATGACATGTGACCATTGGTATGGATTCAATTCTTGGAAGAGTCTTGACACAAGTAAGAGATGACATGTATTGCACTGCTACATCCGGGATTAGACTTGATTTGGTGACGCCAATACACTAAAACAGGTGTAAACAACTAGATTCAGCCGTGGGGCGATTTTTGTCAGAGCGGATGGTCGGGGGGCCGGAACATAACTATAATATTTTTTACGATACAAATTCACCACAACTACTCCCAAAAATAGGTTTCTTTGAAAATAAACTATAATTTCATACCTTGATTACATTGTGAAACGATCAAGTCTCTTTTTGTATTTGTGGGAATACTTGGGGAATATTTTTACTATAAACTTTGGCCAAAAAAAACACCTAATAATAATAATAAAGCTGACCACTGCACTAAGATATTGTAATGTAGACGCAGGGAGTCAGGAAACAAGTGCAGTGTGAGTTTAATGATAACGAACATGGAACGAATACAAAACAAGAGAACCGTCTAACAAGGAAACATAAACAATTCTACCTGATGACTAACAGAACACAGTGCTAGATAAATGGTAAGTAAACAAGGTAGTAATGAAGTCCAGGTGTGACTGATGATGGGGCGTAGGTGTACGTAATGATGGAGCCTCACGTGGGCATCGTTCCAGACCTCTTCTGCATGCCTGAACGACTCGTCCACCGCAGGAGCTTTGGTCTGGCTCGGGGTCCACGGAGCCAGGGCTGACTGATAACCCAGAACACACTGGAAGGGAGTCAGCCCTTTGGAGTAGTGACGTAATGAATTATGGGCGTACTGCGCCCAGGGAAGGAATCGGGCTCACTCCCCCTACCGGTCCTGGCAGTGACTCCTCATGAACCTACCCAACTTCTGGTTCATCCTCTCCACCTGCCCGTTAGACTGAGGCTGGTACACGGAAGTGAGGCTGACCATGACCCACAGCTTCTCCATGAAGGCTCTCCACACCCATGACGTGAATTGGGGGCCACGGTCGGAGCCGATGTCCTCCGGAAGGCCATAGTGTCGGAAGACCTGCTGGAACAGTGCCTCAGCGACCTGGAGGGCGGTAGGGAGACCAGAGAGAAGGAGAAAACGGCAGGATTTAGAAAATCTGTCCACAACAAGGGAGATCCGTGACGAAATCTATGGACAGATGGGACCAAGGCCGCTGAGGCACGGGAAGGGGTGGAGTTTACCTGCTGA